AAAAAAAAAAAAAAAAAAAAAAAAAAAAAAAAAAAATTAGCTAGATGTGGTAGTCGCATACCTATAGTTCCAGCTACTCAGGAAGCTGAGGCAAGAAAATCACTTGAACCCAGGAGTCTGAGGTTACAGGGAGCTACGATCATGCTACTGCACTCCAGCCTGGGCAACAGAGGGAGACCTCAATCTCTAAAAAGTAAAGAAAGAATAGCTAATATTTATGTAGCCCTTTTTTATGTCAGGCACTATCTAAGCATGTTATGGTAATTAACTCAATGCTCATAACTATCCTATATATGAGTTAGATACTAGTATCACTTTCATTTACAAAGGGGGAAACTAAGGCAGAGCAGAAAAGTAACTCGCTCCAGGTAACACAGCTACCAGGATGCAAATGCAGGCAGTATGGCTCCAGAATCCATGCTCTGCTCCACCAGCTGACCACAGCCCTTGATGTCTGTTTCTCCACATGACCAAATGTGAGTCAGGAGTTGATTCAATGACACTGAGTCCTGACATACAGAAAAGGGAGCAGTCACTACTCCTCCAGGTAGAAAGGTGGTAGCAGAGCCCCTACACACAATCAGTGCCATAATGGTTAGAGCAGTGGGGTGAGGCTGAATTCCAAATGATGGCGTCAAGCTGTAGGAAGGCTGCAGACTGATGGGGCCTGACGCAACTTACTGAAGCCCAACACACTGAGGCAAAGCACAGCAAAATTCAGAAACAACTCATCCCGAAGCCCACGTGCACGATGCCAGGCATTGTGCTCACTCTAGGGGAGTCCCAGGGAGCTCACAATCCAGTGAGGACACTCTGGGTAAATGTGAAAGAGACACACCAGGCAGGGTGGCAAGTGTCATCAGAGACATGGTCAGGGCTGAAGGGGTCAGACAAGGTTGATGGGGGTCATAAACAAAGGGCACTCCCAGGGCAAGAAGAACATCTGCCAAGGGGCAGAGCAGGGAATGTCAGCAGCCTGTTTGGCATCCCACACAGCCATGCTGGTGTGTGGCATGTGCAGGAGGCAGAGGTGTAGGAAGATGAGCCTGAGCAGGAGACTGACCACTGGGCAAAGGAGTCAGAGGCCCAGAGCAGGCAAGGGGCACAGTGCACACAGAGAGGAAAGCAGAGGCCTGCGGTACAGATCACAGAAACAGCCAATAGAGAGGCAATGGCAATATGGGCGGAGACAAGGAGCCAGATTAAAGAGATGTCTGTGAAGCAGCAGAACCACGGCTGAGGGAGAGGGAGGACATGAGATTACTCTGAGGAGTCCCACCTGGGGGCCAGGGTAGACAGTGGCAGTCAGCAGAGATGGGGAACACATGAGGATCAGGTTTTTGCAGAAAAATAACCCCAGTCTGGGGCAAGCGGGTTCACCTCTGCTGGACCCGGGGCAAAGAACTCAGGTTTCTAGAGGTGAGATCTGCTTCAGGACAGGGTGCAATCACTGGAGTGGCTTGAATACTCCTGCCAGGGCACTAGCTGCCCCTTCCCTGCTTTCTCAGGGCCTGGCAAAGCACAGCCACCATTCATAGGCCTCACAAGTCTTCTGGGTCCCTCAGGAAGGTGAGTACTGTTCCCACCAGCCCCACAAACACTTCACTAAGGTACGTGATTTTTTTTTTTTTTTTTTTTTTTTTTTTTTTTTTTTTTTTTTTTTTTTTTTTTTGACAAGAGTCTTGCTCTGTCGCCAGGCTGGAGTGCAGCGGGAGACAGGTTTTTACCATGTTAACCAGGCTAGTGTCAAACTCCTGGCCTCAAATAATTTCCACCTTGGCCTTCCAAAGTGCTGAGATTACAGGCGTGAGCCACTATGCCTGACCAGGTACTAGAAATTTTAATCAGGAACTAGACCCAAAGGACCAGAGGAAAGAGCAGTCCAAGGTACAGTAGGAAATCAGGGAGATGGAGATGATCCTCTATACTCAAGAAACACACACTTCAGAGGGAAAGAGGCAGAGGCTTTCTCAGGCCAGTCTCATCAGTTCTTGTTGGCTTCAAACACTCAATCAGATCAGGCTCCAGAAGAAAAGGGGCTTAGTTCCACACTTGGGCCCCGCCTCCGGATCCCAAGCCTCTCTTCTGAGGGCTCATAAAAGGCAGGATTAAGAGCCAAAGACCAAGTACTTCTAGACAGCAGCAGCTGGGCAGGCCAAGAGTAGACTTTGTAAGTTAACCTCTTTTCTTGAGCTGACTCAGATAAGCGCCGTGTAACTAACATTCTGCCCACTTACTCCTAACAACACTGAGACTCAGCATCTAAAATGGCCATTGTACTGAGAAGCCAGAACAGAGGAAAAAAATTGTAATAATAATAAATAAAATGGCCATTGCCAGGCTATTTTATTAATAAAAGCATTCTTGAAACAAATTATCAGGAACACCCTAGAGGCACACTACCCGTAGCTTGCAGTCTAATCACCTACTCTGAAGACACTGAGTCCAGCTAAATCACCTTCCATAGGGCTTGTCAATCTGTCACAGTGAGCTATGATCATGCCACTGTACTCCAGCCTGGGGGATGGAGTGAGATCCTGTCTATAAATAAATAAATAATAAAGCAACATAAAAATAAACAGCCATATGCCATTTCTGGTTCAGAAGACTAAATCTTCAGTAAGACTGAGGTTTCCCATACTAATCCATATTTTTTTATATAACACAGTATCAATCTGAAATGCCAGTAGAACATTTTGGAACATTTAATGAAAGTCTGATTAATAGGGCCATTAAAGAAACAAGCATGTTGCTAATGAAATCCAAAAATGGTCTAGTCCAATAAAATGTAAGGGCTATAAACTTGAATATCTTAACTATATTAAAACATTAACACCCTTCATAAATAGTACCAGAGGCAAAAACAAGCACTTTGCACAAAGATGTCTGTAAGTATCAGTCAAAACAGCAAACAGGTAGGTATTGTGGCTTACGCCTGTAAACCCAACATTTTGAGAAGCTGAGGCAGCAGTTCAAGACCAGCCTGGGGAACACAGTGAAATCCCACCTTTACAAAAAAAGTCTTTTTAAATTAGCCAAGTGTAGTGGTACACACTTAAAGTCCCACCTACTTGGGAGGCTGAGGAAAGGGAATTGCTTGAGCCCAGGAGGTTGAGGCTACAGTGAGCTGTGATCGTGCTCCTCCACTATAGCCTCAGTGACACGGTAAGACCCTTTCTCAAAAAAAAAAAAAACACTGGCCTGCAGACAACTGAAGTCCCGAGTGATGGCAAGCAAGCCTGAGCACACAACAACCCTCAAATATCTCATCTAAAGTTAACACCAGGCTGAGCACAGTGGCTCACGCCTGTTATCCCAGCACGCCTCTTATCCCAGGCCAAGGCGGGCAGATTGCTTAAGTTCAGGAGTTTGAGGCCAGCCTGGAGAATACAGAGAGACCTCATATCAATTAAAAATTTTAAGAGGCCAGGCACAGTGGCTCACACCTGTAATCCCAGAACTTTAAGAGGCTGGGGGCAGGTAGATCATTTAAGGTAAGGAACTTAAGACCAGCCAGGCCAAACATGGTGAAATCTCGTTTCTACCAAAACTATAAAACAGCCAGCCATGGTAGCAGGCACCTATTATCCCAGCTACCTGGGAGGCTGAAGCAGGAGAATCGCTTGAACCCAGGAGGTGGAGGTTGAAGTGAGCCAAGATTGTGCCACTGCACTCTAGCCTGGGAGACAGAGCAAGACTCCATCTTAAAAAAAATTAATTAAAAAATAAATTAGTTGGCCAGGTGCAGTGGCTCACGCCTGTAATCCCAGCACTTTGGGAGGCCACGGTGGGTGTATCACCTGAGGTCAGGAGTTTGAGACCAGCCGGCCAACATGGTGAAATCCTGTCTAATAAAAATACAAAAATTAGCCAGACATGGTGGCAGGTGCCTGTAATCCCAACTACTCAGGAGGCTGGGGCAGGAGAATTGCTTGAGCCTGGGAGGCAGAAGTTGCAGTCAGCCGAGACTGTTCCAATGTACTCCAGTCTGGGCAACAGAGCAAGACTCTGTATCAAAAAAAAATTTTTTTTTAATTAGCCAGGTGCAGTGGTTCACGCTTATAATCCCAGCACTCTGGGAGGCTGAGGCGGGCGGATCATCTGAGGTTGGGAGTTTGAGACCAACCTGACCAACATAGAGAAGCCTCGTCTCTACTAAAAATACAAAATTAGCCAGGTGTGCTGGTGCATGCCTGCAATCCCAGCTACTTGGGAGGCTGAGGCAGGAGAATCGCTTGAACCTGGGAGGCGGAGGTTGCAGTGAGCTGAGATGGCGCCATTGCACTACAACCTGGGCAACAAGAGTGAAACTCCATCTCAAACAAATAAATAAATAAATAAGTCAGGCATGGTGGCACATGCCTGTAGTTCCAGCTACTTAGGAGGCTAAGGTGGAAGGAGCACTTGAGCCCAGAAGGTTAACGCGGCTGTGACTGTGCCACTGCACTAGCATGGGAGACAAAGTAAGACTTTGTCTTAAATAAACAAATACATACATACATACATAAGTCTTACAATCTGGGCCCAGCCTAAGCCACCGCCACTACTGCGCTCCCACCAACCACACATCCGAACCATCCAATTGACCTTCATCTCAACCAAGGGCACCTTGGAAATCAGGAGCAGCTGGCAGAAAGGATTTAGCTGCTATCATCTTCCATCCCACCTCCTCACCAAAATAACGTTCCAGGAGCTTCAGGTCTGTTTATGAATGAAGATGTTTTCAGTTTTGCAGAATGTATGCTCATCACCAGAAATAAAAAAGTGATCCCAGAAAGTGGAAAGCACCAAAAGGGATTCTGATCTTCAAAAGTCAGTACTGCAATGAATAACGGCAGGCTGATATGGTTTGGACGTTTGTCCCCTCCAAATCTGTTGAAATGTGATTCCCAATGTTGCAATGGGGCTGGTAGGTAGGAGGTGTTTGGGTCACTGTGGCATCCCTCATGAACGGCTTGGGGCCCTCCCAGTGGTAATGAGTTCATGTGAGATCTGGTTGTTTGAAAAGGAGCCTGGTACCCTACCTTCTTGCTCCCTCTAGCCATGTGATATATCGGCTCCCTTTCCATTCCACCATGATTAAGCTTCCAGAGGCCCTCACCAGAAGCAGATGCTGGAACTAGGCATGTACACCCAAGAATCATGAGCCAAATAAAACTCTCTTCTTTATAAATTATCCAGCCTCAGGTATTCCTTGACAGGAACACAAACTAACACAAAAGCCCACCATCACTCCTGAGAGGGGTGCACTCTACTCCATTCTCACATCTGTCCTGTGCTAGATTTGTCCGTACATTCCGCTAGCCCTGTATTCTGGAAAAGCCAGGGGCATCCATCCTTCCCAGAGAGAAGTGCTATCTAGATGCAACCTGATTCTTCCTTTCCACCTTAAGGATACTCAGGGAGATGATCAGATATGGCAGGAAGGAAAACCCTGGGGAGCTGGCAGGCAGCGTGAAACAAAGACAAGTGCAATATCCACTGAACACTTAGGCCCCTTTCTCTTGCCAAAAAGAAGTGCATCCATGAGGAGAACAGATTTTCCTACAACTTTAAATTAGCAATGTCAAAGTACATGACTAGTAGCTGGCCTCAAACCAGCCCAGAGGGGTTAAAAGTTTCATACTGTAAAAAGGGAAACACACTAGGCTGGCTCCACATGGCCCCATCTCAAAGAAAATCAGATCAGCCCAGCAGACTCTGAA